GGAGAAAATGGGGTCCGCCCCCCCCCCCCAATCACTGATGGTCAGCAGCAGTTTGAATCCCCCCGGCTTGAACATGCCGCTGCCGATCTCTTCCTTCTGTTGTGACCAAGCGGAATGTTTGTGAACGCTGCCGGTGTCTACACCTGTGATTGGCTCTCCATCTCGCCTGGATCTGCGCTCTCCCGCCGTGTGCGCGCGGCCTGCCCGCCATTGTCTCTCCAGCGGCAGTCATGTGACATTTCTCGTCTCTTCTCTTTAAAGGTCCGTGTGAAAAGATTCACGATGAGAACCTCCGGAAGCAGTCAGTATTTTCTCTTTGTTTGCGTTGTTCTTTCTGCTGTTTTTGGCTTCGGTTGGCACTGACCTCTGTCCCCCCCCCCCAGGTATGAGAAGAGTTCTCGCTTTTTGAAGGTGGGATACGAGCGCGAGTTCCTGCGCTATCTGCAGAGTCTGCTCGCCGAGGTGGAGCGCAGGATACGGAGGGGTCACGCGCGGTTAGCTCTGTCGCAGAACCAGCAAGCTTCCGGTGTAAGTGGAGAATTCTCCCCGTGTAATCTGTGTGTCAATGTCACCGGAACATTCTCTGCGGGCCGCTGAGGTGACTACCGCGCGGCAAGCAGGACTAAGAATTTAAAGAGCGACTCCAGCCGGGGCTACAGTAGGGGAGGTCTGAGATCTGTGACAGGAAGTGAGGAGACATCTCCCTCCCCGGGGGATACACACAGCAAGAAAAACTTAACAGGGGGTGAGTCGGGCTCCATAGAAAAAAAGCAAACTCGCGCAAAAACTGCCGAAAAAAGGGTCCGGTAGAAGCGACGCGCGACATGGAGTTAAGACAGCTCCATTGAATAGCATTGGCCGGCGACTTCTCGCGATATCGCGCGGCAAAAATGTGCGATATCGCGGCGGAAATCGCGCGATAATTCGCTACATGTGAACGGGGCCTTAGACTGACTCTGCTCCCCCTTTTGGTTCTGTGCACCCCCCAACTCCATTCCACTGGAGGTCTTGCAGGTTGTACGTTGTCTCTGTGTTCGGAGTCCTCTCTCCTGTGTACAATCTCCTTTGTGTTTTGTCTTCCTCAGGCTGTTGGTCCGGCTGGAAAGAACGAGGAGAAGGTTCAGGTTCTGACGGATAAAATTGAGGAACTGCTGCTGCAGGTGAGACACCAATATGATATTTGGGGTGAGATGCTGATTGGCTCCTAGACTCTGGTCACCGGTGAAGCGGGTCACATGCTCCTCCTGTACCTGAACATGCTAGGGTTATCTAAGCAGCTGCAGGGGGCCAGGAGGGGCGCAGGCGAGTGCACGGCTTCATATTCCTCGTCACATCATTAGGTGTATTTTATTTTGAGAAGCTGGAAGTAGCAGAGCTCAGACTGGGAGAGAGAAGAGTCAGTTGTACTGCAGTGCTCATGTGCCAATAAGGAACATGCGTATAGGAGGAGAGAGCCGAGTGACGGGGATGAGCTCATCAGTGTGCTCCAATCACTGGCTGGGGGAGAGAGGAGACCTGTAAGTGTTCCTGAACTGCAGCAGAGGAAAATGGGGTTTCCTGTCCTTCCAGACAGGGCTGTGTAAATCTCGGGACTGGATGGACTAATATTGTGTGTTGTGATTTTTCTCTGAGCAGATTGAGGAGCTGGGCTCGGAGGGGAAGGTGGAAGAGGCGCAGGGGATGATGAAACTTGTAGAACAGCTGAAAGAAGAGCGCGAGCTTCTCACATCTTCCACATCGGTGAGTTACGCGGGACGCGGCACTCGCTTTCCGCCGATCTGTCGTCATTTTCTGGGTCATTTGTCTCTCGACTGCAACTTACTATTTATAGAAGAATCGCCACAAAGTGACCGTCGTTGTGGAATCTCGGGGTGCCTGTGACACGGGGTCCCCCTCTGATCTGTGGGGGAGGGGGAGGTACACCGACGTCCATGTTGGCTCACCAACCACAGATCTGATCGGCCGGTGCAGTGACGTGTCAGCCTCGCCTCTGTGTACAATCCCCATTGTGTATTTGTGTCCCGAGCACTCCTCTGTATGACGTTGGAGTCTGGGAGATCTCACCACCGGGAGTCGAAGGCTCGTTCAGATGGGTGTGCTGACCAGTAAAATGACCCGATCCCGGGAGGGGGAGGTGCTGTGTGTGGTTCTTCCCTATGGGAACTACACGCACACCTGAACCCGCACGCAGAGAGCACCGATCCCAACCGGGGTCAGGTCATTTTACTGGCATGCACGCTGCTCAGCAGCCTCACATGACTTATCCCGTACATGTCCCCATGTTTATGCTGCGCGGTCCTTGGTCTGTGACCTCCAAACTCTCCTCTCTCCAAGTGAACCTCCCAGGTTCATCTGCCTTTTCATAATGTACGAGAAGAAGATGGCGTCGTGGGACAGGACCTCTAATAGAAGAGGACAACGCTGGATCCGCTGGGGGTTGTAAGAATATCAATGCAGCGTAAAAAGAGCGCCAACCACAGTGAGCACGTGGGACGGTTGGTGGGCGGTTTATTGTTATGGTGTGGGTGGGCGGTTTATTATGGTGGATTATTTGCAGACAATTGAGAGTTTTGCGGCGCAGGAGAAGCAGATGGAGGTGTGTGAGGTGTGCGGAGCCTTTCTTATTGTCGGGGACGCTCAGTCCCGGGTGGACGATCACCTCATGGGAAAACAGCACATGGGTTACGCCAAAATTAAGAGTACTGTGGAGGAATTAAAGGTACGTCCGCCATGATGCCTGTACACAGCACGGTTACCCCGGCCCTCAGAGGAATAGATTGAGGCTCTGTGTAAGAGGACCAGAATGTCTCTTCTCTGGATGATTGACAGGAGACCCCTCCCCCCACCTCGCACCCAGAACCCCAGAATCTCAATCTTCATGTCGGGGGGATTTGATGTTTATTTCTCTCCAAAGGAAAAACTAAGGAAAAAGTCTGTGGAGCCCACCGAGCGAGAAGATCGGTTAAAGAAAGAGAAGGAAGAGAAAGACAAAGAGAAGGAGAAAGAAAAAGAAAAGGAAGAGAAGGAAAAGGAGAAGAAGAGGAGACGAGAGGAGGAAGAGAAGGAGAAGGAAAGGAACCGCGAGAGGGAGAAGCGCAAAAGAAGCCGTTCGCGCAGCCGAAATTCCAGCAAACCCTCGGACAGGCGAGGCAGCCGATCTCGTGACCACAAGAGGTCCCGGAGCCGGGAGAGGAAGAGAAGCAGGTACACTGCTGGAGGAAATGGGCTGCCCACCTTTTTTCCTTGGGGGAGGGTACAGGTCCCATAGAGAACCTGTCACCAGAGCTGAATTCTGGGCACAAAAATGTTCATTTACATTTATTCCTTAAAAGGCAAAAAGATTATAAATTCTTTGTGGTGCAAGATTACTTTACAAACCTCCGGTATGAGGCAGTGACATCACTGAACAGAGCTGTGGGAGGGGCCCAGCAGGCTCCACCAACTACAGGCTTTCTGTAAAAACCTACAGGAGGGGGCGGAGACGAGACCGGTCACCATGCACAAGGAGAGAGCGCAGCAGTGAGCGGTCTTTATTACAGGAGGGGGCGGAGACAAGACCAGTCACCATGCACAAGGAGAGAGCGCAGCAGTGAGCGGTCTTTATTACAGGAGGGGGCGGAGACAAGACCAGTCACCCTGCACAAGGAGAGAGCGCAGCAGTGAGCGGTCTTTATTACAGGAGGGGGCGGAGACAAGACCAGTCACCCTGCACAAGGAGAGAGCGCAGCAGTGAGCGGTCTTTATTACAGGAGGGGGCGGAGACAAGACCAGTCACCCTGCACAAGGAGAGAGCGCAGCAGTGAGCGGTCTTTATTACAGGAGGGGGCGGAGACAAGACCAGTCACCCTGCACAAGGAGAGAGCGCAGCAGTGAGCGGTCTTTATTACAGGAGGGGGCGGAGACAAGACCGGTCATCCTGCACAAGGAGAGAGAGCAGCAGTGAGCGGCCTTTTTTTTACTGTGCTATGGTTCCCCATTGGTGGAAGGTAATGTGGTCTCTTCCTAGTCATTAGTTACTTCAGCTCAGGTAAGCAACATTTAATATTCTAGCCGCTGATTGGCCAGCTCTGCCTGCATGTCAGTACCCCAATATTGTTTACTGGGGACCATGAGCATGATACCAAGGTACTGGTCATGTGATCAGCTGCCAGAGGGAGCCCGGGGTGCTTTATATATCATATGTGCGTTAATTATAATTCCTTTTCTGCAGGAGCAAAGAGCTTCAGAGAAGCCGCAGTCACATTCAGCCCGAGAGGAAACATCGATCACGCAGCAGAGACAAGCGCAGGTCAAAGAGCAAGGAACGCAAGTCTTTCAAACACAGGAGCCGAGACCGCGAACGCAGATCCAAGGAGAAAGGTTTGGCTTCAGTCTTAACTAATCTTCAGGCCTAAAATTTGCATTTCATCACGTGTGCAGAATACACGGCTGTGTCCGTGGCAGCGAAGGGGTTAATCTTGAAATTCCTGAATTCTAAGCGGAGACACAAAGGGCCTCGATTTTTGTCCATGGTGAAACGAAGCCCCGCCCACTGGCATTCTATTGTCCAATGGCAGAGATGTCTCTCGGGGCCACTAGGGCTCTGTCATGTTACTTGACGTGCGGCTGGGCAGAAGCCTACTTGCTGTGCACAGCCCGGGCCTTGGGCACAACTTCCTTTTTTAAATGATTAAAGATTCTTTGCCTGCGAGAAAACAGACTCCTGACCTCTAATTCTGCAAATCCCGGTCATACTGATCCTCGTGCTTCAGTACTATGAATCTCTTTACTAATATTGGACTAATCGCCATTATTGCCCGGGGTCTCCCTGCAGCTGATCCGTCCTCATCACTGACTTACCGTGTCTCTGTGTGGGGGCAGCCATCTTGCTGGAGGTAGGTTTTTCTTTCTTATGTCACAGCTGCCCCCCCCGCCCCAGTGACCTGAAAGGGTAAAGATAATGAAGCCTCAGGAGCGGAGCGGTGGAGGAAACGCAGATCTACAGAATGAAGGAATGCAGCAGTAGCAGGGAGATCCTTACATTGCAGGTCCTCGGGTGCAGCTTCCCCTCCAGCGAGGAGAAGAGCGAGCAGCACAGGAGTGACATCACCAAATCTCCTGAGACCGGCAGTAAGACAGCAGGGCCTGAGATCTCGCACTGCGGATATACAGATATGAGGATACAGGGAGTGCAGTGATCTCAGGAGTGCCTAGGCACAGGAAGTGCAGTGATCTCAGGAGTGCCCAGGCACAGGAAGTGCTCTGGTATTTTAGGAATTCCAGACAAAACATAGATTTTTGATTTTTCAGGGTACTGTTGCCGTAAAATGAAAACTCCGGAGTTAAATCTTAAAACTCCCTCCGAGTCCCCGAGCTCTGAGCAACAATGTATCTTATTTGTGTATCACTCGGCTGGAGATCCTCCAATCATCTCTGACACTGTCCTTCCTTCTGGAGGGGGGCTACGTCTGTTCCCCATGGTCCCTGTGTGTGTTGTAAAGTAGTCACCGCTCCAAGCTCCGCCCCCCCGGAATGGACTACAATCTCAGTACAAATGAGTAACTGAACCTGAGATTGTTCATCTCCCTCCAAACAATGTTACTTTGTATCTTTCACCTGAGCAATGTTTATAAACACTGTCATTTTGACAGCTGGGAATTGCTGGCCTGTCTGAGCGGGGCTGAAGGACAGGACCTGGTACATGGTGCACTTCAATGAAGTTTCTTTTGGCGTGTGTCGCACATCCAGTGTCCATAGCTAGTTACATAGTATTTTTTTGGGGGGGTTGAATAAAGACATACTCTGTCATAGTTCATATCAGATTGCCTCTTGCATTGTGTAGGAGTACCTGCGGACCTAAGGGCTTGTTCACACCAAATGCAGACCAGATCTGCATGAGTTTCTGCACACGCACTGCACTGGGTTTTGCCGCGTTATGTGTTCCGGGCCATTTTTGGTAAAAAAATAAAATCATTTTTTTTTAAATTTTATTTTTTAGTTTTTAAATCGGGCTTTCAGTGCGTTCCAGGGCATTTGCATGCATTTTTGATGCGTTCCAGAGCAGGTAAAATAGGGCTTGCTGCAGTTTTTTTTTGGAACTAAATGCTGCGGTGGGAACTAGAGCCCAAAATACCATTTGGAATCCATTGGACGCAGTTTGGATCCGGTCTGTAACTGCTCCGCTCCTGGAACGCGCTCGGTGTGAAGAAGGCCTCAGTCTATTTCTTGCTCTCAGCAGGCCCCTGACAATCAATCTTCTCGCTTTCTCGATCCGCAGAAAAAAGGAGTTCCGACGACAAAAAAAGCAGCAAGTCCAGCAGTCGAGACGGGCAAAGCGAATCTCGCAAATCTGACCATAAGGAATTGCCCGTCCAAACCTCTGTGAATGGGGCCAACGAAGACATAAAATCTGAAGGTGACACTCAGTCCAATTAAAACTGATCTGATTTGACCTCTGATCAGCCGGAGGTAAGTGTTTTTGTGCCTCTCTCTCTATAGCTCTTATGTTTTGCTAGAATGTTACGGTGCAGCGTAAGTATGCACAGATGAAGACAGGAAGCCTTGCCATGAAGGGAGAGGGCTGTAGCCCCTGCACACATGTACAGATATCTCATTTCTCTGTATTCGTAGTGACA